TACACGGTTAATGACTGACAGCACAGCAGTTTACTTCCTTGAAAAGAATCAATAAAAGCCATGCGTTGACCCGATTCGGTGGCTCAGTCTATCTCTGAAGGCTGAGTCCCTTGGTCTCGCTCTTAAATCTTACTTTTGTCTCTTGTACTTATTCAATCTGCGCCGCCCCTCTCGTGTCCCATTTGCCCTTGCCACGCTGGACGTGACACACAAAGAGATTGTAAGCTTGTTGAGAGACTGTGTCATATTCATTTTGTGCCCTTACAGGCCTAGGCAGACGGCAGACACGCACCCACTTTCTCATGACTTAAATACATCAGAGCCCACCTCAGGCCTTGGCACCTACCACCCAGCCGAGATGGAGACAGCATGCTACCCCTGCATCCCAGCCATCGAGATTGCTCTGTGCAGAGGGAAGCATGGTGACACAGATCTCCAATGGCTTCTGAAAGTGGGTCAGGGATTCAGGGGGAGATAGGGTCATTAGTTATCAATCTGTCAGGACAGCACAGGCTCCTTCCACTGGAAATAACCATCCATGGCTGCCATTTTTAATAGTGGAGGAAAAACACAGATCTTAGATTCAGGCATGAACCTTTGCACTGAGCCATCAGTGGATCCTAACATTCACACCAAGTCAGGATTTTTAAAAACCCATTAGACAAATACTGTCCTGCTACAAAACACATTAAGAAAAAAAGACACTCTTACCCGAAGAACTTCAAAAGCTGACTGGACAAGGTCCACATCTCTGCTTTTCCAGATCACCTGGTTCCCCATGAGAACATGCCAGGCCAACATACGAAAAGATGGGGCACCAAGGACCTGAAAAACAGAGTTCAGTGCTTTTTGCCCTGAATTTTCTTTCTGTCCAATTGATGTTATGTGTGTGTTTGTCTAGGAACTTTGTATAGTGAAAGAAGATGGGTGAGGAGAGAGAAAGCCACTTATCTCCTTAGGGAGGCTGAGTGACTTGCCAAGGTCAGAAGGCAGGTGGAAGTCCCTGGATTTGCACCCAAAAGCCTGGTCCCAAAACTCTGGCACATTTTGTAAGATCTTTTTCCCAACTTTATTTTCAAAACGTTGAAGCAGAAAACATATTGCTTGTGTGTGTGTTGTGAGGCTGGTGTGAACAACTTATTGTACTGCCAATCGTACAAAAACACAGCACATACAATTACAGTGGTGGGTACACCACAAAGGTGTGCGTACATGCACTCTGTGATGTTTGCACAAGGACCAAATCACCTAACAACGCGTTTCTCGTAATGTGTCCCGTCAATAAGTAGTGCAAGACTATAAATATACACGCACCACCCTATCCAACACATTGCATGCTTTCTTTCTTGTGCTTAACGATATTCCATTGTTCAGATGCAATTACTATGGTTGAACATTCAGGTTGTTTCCAATTTTTTTTTTAAGAATAGCCATTGTTTTCAATTTCCAAAGCATTTCCAATGCAAAAAAATAGTGCTCTTGGGTGGGCTGAGTGGCTCAGTTGTTTAAGAGCGAGAGCTCTGAGCAACAGGGTCGCCGGTTCGATTCCCACAGGGGCCAGTGAGCTGCGCCCTAACTGAGCTGCCACTGAGCTGCCAACAGGTGGCAGGATAGCTCAGCTGGTGAGAGCATGCGCTCCTAACAACAAGGTTTCCGGTTCAACTCCCTCATGGGATGGTGGGCTATGCCCACCTGCAACTAAGATTGAACACAGCACCTTGAGTTGAGTGGCTGCGAGCTGCCAATGGGCAGCTGGATGGCGACTGGACTTGGAGCTGAGCTAGCTGCGTCCTCCACAACTAAGATTGAAGGACAACAAACTTGGCTGTTCCCCTTTCCCCATTCCCCAACACTGTTCCCCTTTCCCAATTAAAAAAAAAAAAAAGTGCTCTTCAGTTCCTTTAGAAGGTTCTAGAATAAGATCAGCAGACATGTGAAGTCAACCATCCAGGCTTTTCTTTAAAGAAAGTACCTACAGAATCACACAAAGGGGAGCCTGATGCTGCGGCTAAGACACCACAGACGTCCACTGGCATCGTCAGCCACCCACCACGAAGGTTCTTGGTTACTCCTAACCCACCAGCCCCTGTGAGGTGTGGAACATGATGGGCCCAAAGGGCACTGTGCTGGAGGGAGACGAGCTGGAAGGCGAGGGCTGGGCGCTTTTCCTGTGTCTGACTGGGGCTCTACCCATCCACCACCTACCTGCCTCATGTGCCGAAGGGACTTAAACACAGACAGCTTTCGGGGCTGCCAGTTTCCACAGTCTGAAAGCAAAGAAGAATCTGTCGGGCACTTGTTCAGCTCCCGCCCTTCGGCACCCTCCGGCAATATAGGGGCCTTCTCCTCCTCTTCAGCCTCAGAGTTGTCCCAGCTTTCTGATTCCTCTTCTAACTCTGCAAGATTGATGACAAACACAGTTATGAAACATGCTACCCGTGGATTTCTTCATTCCCTGGATGCAACTGTCTCTTTCCATGCCCTCTTCAGCCCAAGGCATCTCATGGTTAAGCCGCCATGTTGCTGATGGCTGGTTTTGGCCAGCGGTCTATGCTACTTGTTTCCTAGGAGCCTTAGAAAGAGCCACGAGGGTTCAGTCTGCCATGCACCTAGCAGCCCACAGCCTCACTCTGCTTTGGAAAGCATGAGCTGCTCAGTGCTGGTGGGAAAATTCAAACAAATGGTAAGAATGATGATAGCTCGTATTTACTGAGCGCGTCCTCAGTCAGGCGCTATTCTAAAGGCTTCCACACATTATTTCATTTAACCCTTTCAATTGTCCTAAGGTCAGTACTGTTCTCCCATTTTAAAGATAAAAAAATAGTTGTTATTTTAATTCATCTTCATGACAATCCTCACAAATGGTGAGATCTACAAGGGGCTGGGCCCATGAACGGAACACGCTGAGCAGCAGAGGCAGGGTCTGAAGCCAGGTCTGGTTGATTCCAAAGTGTGTGCCCCGAACCCCTATGCTCTCCTTCTCTATGACCAGAATGCAATCCAAGACACGACAGCGAGCTCTCCCTGCATGCCTACATTTCTATCTCTCCTAACACTATCTCCTGATATGCTTGGCTCTCTGTATAAAGCTTACCAACAGACTACTACTGCCATCCTCACTGGCCTGGAAATTTGTAATCACTACAAAAATATTATAAATGGTTCTAGGGTCGATTGATCCATGAGACATGAAGGTGGGCTGCACGGTTTTGTCTTTTCTGAGCATACTCTGCTCTGCCTGAAACTCTACCCCCTTTTCCCTACTCAGGACAGCAAGTTTGAATGCGCAAGTGTGTACAAGTCACCAGGCTACAGGAGTAACCCTGAAACATTTCCAACTTATTAAGAAGGTCAATTATTTGCAAACTGAAGCAGGCACACAACATACACCACAAGTTTGGCTTACTCAGCCCTGCTGTTCAGACTGTGGACCTACATCGCCAAAAATCCAACCATCTCTGAAGGCAAAGCACAGCCAGATCGAGACCGGAGGTTCCTGGCTGGTGTACTCCTGGAAATTTACTTAAAACAGAGGCCCGAGTCCCAGACATGGACATCTGATCATGAACCTGGGGAGGGCTGGAGGTTTGGGAACCATTGCCATTCCTTGATGAAAACCTTGGGTCTAACTGAAGCATAACATTTTACTGTTAAAGAGCAAAGAACAAGAGACTGTCTAGAAAAGCCAAGCCCTTAGCTAATGATAAAATAGGAATTGCAACACCTCCCATCAATCAATCCTCTCCATAGACAGACAGCCTAATTGTGGATTTTCTTAATCTATCTAGGGTCACAGACTTTTATACGTGACTGTCAGACAAAATGAAAGAGGGAATCACAATAAAAACACCAGGATTACAGGGCGACCTTCTGCAGATGCTCCTCCTAGGGTGCTCTTTGTCAGCTCTTTCTGCCAGCATGGCGAAGGGTCGGGTGGCTGAGATGGTCCCCAATAGCAAAGGCTTCCCATACCAGCACTCCCAGCTCACCCGCCAGCTTTTCCATCTGAACCAGGGTATCCTCAGTGGGGGCGCCCTCCAGGAGCTTCTCAGTCAGCCGGCTGCCACACGCTTTCAGGAGCCTGGAGAACAAAGCCATGTGTTCTTGCCAAAAGAGAAACCAGCCCTGACGCCAATCAAGCCTCTTGCTCTAACTACCAGTTCATAGAGAATACAGGAAAGTGTTGAGGAACACCATGACAGTACAATCAGCCAAATCCAATGACCCAGGTCCTCCCACAGAAAGCATCAGAAAATCGGGGCAGGTGGGGTGGGGGTGGGGAGAGGAGGAGCTGCTCTAGACTGAGGGACGTATAACACGATGCACTGTGTTCTGAATCCAATTCAACAGTCACCTCTGAGGCAAAAAAGGAAAAGTGAATATGGATTGGGCTGGATGATACTAAGGAATCAGGTCATTTTGTTGGACGTGATAATGGCTTTATGGTTGAAATGATACAATTTACATTTACTCTAAAGAAATTCTAGAAAAACAAAGTGAGAGGACAGATGAAAAAGCAGTAAAATGTTAATAACTGCTGAAGCTGGATGATGGAGGTATACAGTTCACTGTACTATTTATTCTACTTTGGACTGTTGAAAATTTCCTTAATAGAAGTGATTTGTAAAAGACAGGAACAAGGTATATTGACAGGGAGACAGACACTTCCTCTTTAGTTCGTGGTTCCCGAGAGCTGCACTCAAGGATCCATCTATAATTGAAGCGCCTCATCCATACCAGGCCCTTACTTAGATGAGACCTAGACTTCAAGCTGACACTGCATAGGGGATGAGGATTCAGGGAATCTCTGGAAGGAGTGTATCTTGTCATAGGAGAACAAAAACAATTTGTGGCCAGGGACGATCTGTGGTGGTTTCAAATATGTCCACAAATTCATTGATACTCCTCCCTTCAGCCTCCGGACGAAGCTGGCCTTAGTGACACAGTACATTTCTAACAGGCAGCGTGTGCTAGAAGTGACAGTGAGTGAGTGGCGGGGCAGGAGGCCTTGCAGATCCCACCCACTCTGATGGATGCCAGCTCATGTGTCCCCACGGCCAGGAGCTGAGCCTCCTGCCCACAGCCTGCACTAACCTGCCAGGCCCGTGGGCAGCCAAACATCCAGGTGACACAGCCCTGGTTGACCAAAACCTCCTTGGAAGCTAAGCCAGAACTGCCCAGCTGAGCCACCCTCTGATGCCTGACCCACAAAAGCTACATGAGGTAATGCTTACTGCTGCTTATAAAGCAGGGAGATCACTGGTCATAGAATGGGAACATCATTTGAAACATATCCTTGGGAAGTGAGTTCCATCTGAATATGTCCTGCACCTGCTCGGGGGAAAACTGCCCCTAGTTCAAGGCTCACTGACAATACACACCACTGATGCACCTGGGAACTCGTCCAACTACTGCCTCCCTGCATTCATGCACAATCCAACCAACATACTGGGACTGCTCTTATTCCAACTGTTGCTAAGCGACCTGAGACTCTCATTACCAAGCAAAGGAAGTATGAAGACATGCCCACAGGTTGTCATCGCTTGTCAAGGATGTCAGTGAACGGGCAGCGTTACCATTCCTTTGGTGCAGAAACGGAGTAAAAGCTGTGTTCATCCTCTGGGCACGCTGGGGGCATCCAAACTGCTCCGCTTCAAACACCTGAAACGCACAGGGAAGGGGCAGCCTGTTAACAAAACAAAACCAGTGAGCAGCCCAGCTCGTTCTCCTGAAGACTGTCCTACTCTGCTCCCTGGATGCAGAAAATGCCACCAGTCTCATAATTCCAGCCAGCATGCTTTGCTTTCCCAGCCAGATCAGAAGCTGCCTGAGAAGAGGAACTGGTTAAGAATTTCTCCCGGACCCTCGCTTACAACCGCCTCATTGGCAGCATGGGGATTCAGGCGGCTATGTGCTGAGGTGTTCATTACTGATGCTCTCCGAGTATTTCCAGTTCTTTCCTTGCAGGCACTGGGGGCACTCACTACTCAGAGCTGGTGTGGGGCATGGGACCAGCGCCCTCTGCGCCCTCCAGCAGTTCAATGAGCAACATGCACTACAGCTGCTGCCCCACCTGCTGAGACGCCTACAGCAAGCAGATTCCCCCACTGCCCTGCAATGGACATGACACATGAACAAGAAAAAGGCTGATTTTAAGTCGCTGAGGTTTGAGGGCTGTTTGTTGCCAGAGCGTAAGCTGGCCCATCGTGAAAGATGCGACACTGAAGCTGAAGGTCTGCGTTAGGTGGTGGGTCTGCAACACAGTGAAAAGGCTTTCGAGATGAAGGTCAGAGGAAGCAAAGACATCAGGTAAAACCAGGGTGTCTGAGCTGAACGAGAACCAGAACGATGGACTCGAGAGAGACCAGGAGAGCAAGGACGACTCACTGACACTGCAAGGCTTATGCACACAGCCCCGACTCTGAAGCCCAGAAGTTACAATTCAGGCACTGCAGTGGCCCCGGGCCCGCATGCTCGCACCCCATTAGTGCACAGCTCCGTGCACACCGCCACCCACTCCCCCTTCCCCGGGTCACCTTGAGGGCCTTGCCCTGGAGCTCATCAATGATCCCGCGGATCTTCCCCAGCAGGAAGGGCCAGGAGTTGATGAGGTAAATCCGGTCCATCATGATGGTGATGATGCTGTACCAGCGCTGGAAGCCCCTCGCCAGGCTGTCTTTGATGAAGAACGTGTGGCTAAACACAAACCCATGCTGCTCGTCCCCGAAAAAGATGGGGCCTTCACGGCCAGGGCAGACCTGGAACAAAAGCACCGCCACTCCAGGACACAGTCACACAAAACCCAAGCTCCTGCTCACACACATCGTTCCTTCTGCCCGAATTAGCCACCACTACTTATAGGGAGAGTGGGCAGGGTGGGGATGAGAGGAAAACTTGGCTTTCATCTGCTGCTGGGAGCAAACTTTCTGAAGATAACGTCTGTTATCACGGAACGCAAGGGCTAGTAAAGTAGGTTCAATGCTTTTTTCCACCTTGAGCTATAAGGAATGCCTGTACAAATAGTCTACCCTTGCAGATACACGTTCACCAAATCATTCATCTGGAATACACTGGAGAGCTTGCGGTCAAAACAGCCACTGAGAGCCCATAGAATAAAATTTGCGTACGTTATTTGTGGGAGAGAACTCAGGTCTCCCTTGTGATACTGTCACTCTCACTTTACACGCATGTCTATTGGACATGATCATCTGCCTGCTAGCAGATTAGCAGCAGGAAATCAAAAGGACTGCTGAAGGCAGGCACACAGCACCTGGAAATGAGACCTCAGCGCCCAGGGGCTTGGCACATCTGATCAAGTAGGGGTAATGATGGGAAATTTTAGTAACTGGATTATGAATTCTTGTGACAGATCAAAACGTAAGAGCTCAGACTAAAACTCAGCAACAGCAGCCATGCAGTTTAGAAACACATGGGTTCACTCTCCAGTAGGGTCTGAGAGCATGATGACTGAGAAAATAAAACAAGTGAACTACATGTCCCAGAAATATTCCATCTTAGAAACACATCCATGAAGAATGGATAAACAACAAAAGTTTGGTGCTTCAAATGATAAGCCAGCAACCATTTAGAAAACTCGAGTCTAACACAATGTATTTTGGAGTTCTGGAGAACAGGGTCTGCCCTGAGCTGCCCACTCACTGACCTGCTCATCCTCTTCACAACAGGACTGACTTGTCTTCCTTTCCGGAGCAACACTGAACCTGTTCAGGGCATCTCAGCATGGGTGAGACCCCCGCCCCGAGACAGCCACTTCCATTCCCACAGGTGCTCACCTCACAGCTCAGGCTCCGCACGCAAGCCTGGCGGACAATGCTGAACAGCTGGGGGTGGTTGGGGTGCTGGTGACTGACATACTTAATCGAGGTCTCTTTATCGTGGCTGATATACCCGGGGTGCCCTGCAGCAAGTGACCGGCAACCCTGCCCACAAGAAGGAAAAGAAAAATGGTCATTCGGGATGCAGGCAACACGCTTTCTTACTCTTCTGCAAACCTGAAGTAGGAAACTCAATCTATATTCATAGAAAAATACCTGGCTTGTAGTTATACTTATCTGAGGATTTCCATGTTTCCTGAATGGGACACAACTAGGATGCAAAAATCACAAAGGTTGTCAGAGAGTATGAATAACAATCTACTCTACTGAGCATCTGTGTAGCAGGTACAAGATCAGACAATTAAGTTTGCGAACTCATCCTAGAAGAAGTGCACCATACTTCACTGCTGAATATCACTACCGTCACCTTTGAAGTACTCCCCTTGGGAAGCTATGCAACCGACGCCAGTGCCTAGTCCACCCTTCAAAGCAATTCTGGAACTCTTTTTCTGGAATGGCCATCAGAGCTGTGATCGTATTACCCTTGATGCCCTTGATGTCTTCCTTTCAATATTTCCTCTATCTTTGGGTAAAGAAAGAAGTCATTGGGGGCCCGATTAGGTGAGTAGGGAGGGTGTTCCAATACAGTTATTTGTTTACTGGCTCAAAACTCCCTTATAGACAGTGCCGTGTGAGCTGGTGCACTGTCGTGATGCAAGAGCCATGAATTGTTGGCGAAAAGTTCAGGTCATTTTCGCCTTTTTCACGCAGCCTTTTCAGCACTTCCAAATAGTAAACTTAGTTAACTATTTGTCCAATTGATACAAATTCAGAATGAATAATCCCTCTGATATCAAAAAAGTTTAGCAACATCGTTGCAATAAGTTCGTAAACATAATTGTCAGACCACATATTATGAAAAGCTCTGCATGCATTATCTCATTTAATCCAAAGCACAGCCCTGAGATAATTACAGTAAGAATCCCCATCATACAGAAGGCAAAACTGAGGCTCACAGTTCTCTCTGTGCTGGCTTCTGTCCTTGGTCCTGACATAACCACGTGGCAGGGGCCTCAGGAGGAGGCCCTAGACATCAGGGTTGGTATGAGCAAGAGTCCATCACTACCCCTGATTTCACGTCCCAGCTCAGGTCCCTCACGTGAAGAAATGGCTGGTGAGGGAACCTGAACTTCATTTCCCAGAGTTCATGAAGGCACAAAGAGGAACACCCAGGACCCCATGAGGAGGAAGCTCCCCAAGAACAGACTGAGGGATCAGGGCCAGTGTGTGCACACGAGAGTGTACAGGGAGGGCTGAAAGGCAAATGTGGCGGTGGTGCCAACTGCTGGCACAGAGTAGGCTAAAAAAGCTAAAGCTAGGATAAAGTGAGAGAACCAAAGGGACACAAAAGAAGCAAACCCAGACCACAGAGAACGGTCTGCACACATCACCTGAAGACCACGCCTTCTGTGAAGTCCCATCCACTGCACCACAGGGCCTCCTGTCTGCCCACAGGAGGCCCCACGCACAAGCACAAGCACGAACCCCTGGAGAAAGAAACATCCCCAATCCCGAGAGACACTTGCCTCGCACATGTCCGACTTTTTGGGCCCTGGGCTGCTGGACTCTGCACTGGCCCCTTCTGCTGGGCTGTGGGTGCGGGTCCGGCTGCTCATCTGAATGCCACCTTCCTCCTCCTCGGCCTGTTCGCCAGGCCCAGGGCTATCCTCAGTCCCAGCCCCTTTCGGAAGAGGGGCATGCAGAACCTCAGTGCAAAAGAGAGTGCGGGGACCGTGGAGTTCGCAGAAGTGACAGAGAGCGACGATGGCATTCATGGTGCCTTGGAGACAGCACGGGGCCTAGGGACGGGTAGGGGAAACACCATCAGCTGGCCAGTGCATGTTCACACCACAGAACCTGCCAGCAACTCCGGAGCACAGAGCCTGGGTAGATGTCATCGACAGGCTTTCTGTCCAGCAGAGGCAGGTCACCCAGCCAGGCAGCACTAGTGGAGCACCTACTCTGTGCCAGCACTGCACTGAGTGCAGGGAAACAAGGCAGACAGACAGACGGACATGGTCCCTGCCCATCAGGAGTTACAACAGGAGGGAAAATGTAATTCAATGATCACAGAGAAAACCCTTCAGTTAGAACTGTGAGAGGGCTACGAGGTGGAGACAACATGTGCAGAGTCGCCAAGCGGCAAATGCCACTGGAGAGGTTGTTATTCAGTCAACAGCTGCGGGGCACCACCCAGGTGCTAGGCAATGGTTTAGGTGATATGATGCTGCCCTCAAGCAGCTTACCTTCTAGGAGGGGTGGGATCCGTGAGAAATTGCTTCCTTTCGTGGGGTGATAGCATTAGGAGTTAAAGTCCAGAGGGCCCAGGGCAGAGAATCACCGGAGGAGGTGGGATGTGCTTTCAGACAGAAGGGCTCCCAGGCAGGAACTGAAGGAACACAGAGAACCATGGGGGGCCAAGGTCGGGGCACACCTGGGAGTATGAGTGTTGGAAGTTAATGGAACAGGGAGAGAAAACTAGAAGGACGCAGATTTGGGGTATCCTTCTAGGCCATGGGAAGACCTTGAATTTTTTTCAGAGATTGGAGAGCCTTTGGTGGGTTCTGATGAGGAACATGATGCATTGAATTTTATTTTAAAAGGATCGTTCTGGCTGCTGTGCAGAAAGAGACTTCGGAGCCAGGGCCGAAGCAGGGAAACTGGCTATGGCGTTCCCACTGTTTCACGTGAAAAAGAGACGGTGGCCTGGGCTAGGGTGGGTGGTGGGAGGCAATAAGGTACAGGCAGATTGTGACTTTGTCTCCAAGACAGAGCCAGCACTCTGCTCAGGGATGGGCTATGGAGCGTGAAGACGGGAGCAAAGCTAAAGGAATATGGGAGACAGGAGGAGCAAATGAGGAGGAGGCCGAGAGTCAACACCTGTTAAGCCTCCAAATGGAGATGATGAAATACAGGGGCAGAGCTGAGGGGGGTGGTCAGTCCTCGGGGGGAGATGGGAGCACCTCGGTGGAGCCCAGGGCCACCCAGAGCTTAGATGTGAGGAGGAGAAAGAGCTTGCAAGGGTGACAGAGACTGAAAGGCAGTGAGGCAAACTCCAGAGCTGCTCCAGAGACTAAGTGAGCAAAACATGAATCACGAGAGGCAGAGTCCTGGAGGAGGTGGCGGGGGGATGGGCTCGGCGCATGGCGGAAAGCTGGGCCTGGGCAGCAAGTCGGGCAACTTGTCCATCATGAAGGGAGGGAGAGCAGAGGGTGTGGACAGACACAAGTGTCCTCTGGTTGGGAAAATCAGGCGAGCCTTTAAAGGTGGGAGCTTGTCCAAGTGGCTGTCAGGCAGGAGAGGTCCGGAAATGAAAACACAGGAGCAAAGCCATAGAGGTGGGACAGTGACAGCCCAACTTACCTGACTCGTATGACACAGAAGGGCCTGGACACCAGGCTAAAGAAGGAAAATGTACTCTCTAGACCCATGTTGCCCAATCCAGTAGCCATGAGTCATGTGGCAACTTGCATTTAAGTAAAATGAAAAGCCCCTTTCCCTAGTCTCACCACCCACATTTCAAGTGTTCACTAGTTACATGTGGCTCATAGTCACTGTTTTAAAAGGACAGTACATACCACGGAACATTTCCATTGTCACAGAAAGTTCTATTGGACAGCCTTGCTCAAAACAATGAGGAACCATTTAAGTTTTTGAATGTTTGACTGAGGAGTGGACACTGGCCAGGTTCTAAACCCTCTTCTCCTATGGGGACCTCATCCCCCATTATGGAGCCAAAGGCCAGACATCCTCTGTTCTCATCCTCTCGTAAGCAACACACACATGACCGATGCTTGGCCAGTCAGAGGTGCCTGCCTGGGACCCTGAACCTCGAGAAAGGTGGCAAAGCAGTAGGCCGTGTGAACATCACAGCAGGGAGGGGGGTCCCCAAGGGGACAGCATCCTCAAAATCCACTTGTGGTGTGTCCCTGGATGTGCCCTCTGAGCAGCCTCCTTGCTGGTGGCCCTGCTTAGAGCCCAGCCTGTCTACTCACTCTGCCACCCACCTGGTGTTTTGCAACCAACCTCTCAGCTGATATGGGCAAGGGCTGGAGCTCAAGTGGTTACAGTGGGAATGGCAGAGGCAGACACAAAACAGACATCTGAAGAGGTCAGCTGGGCTGACAGCAAGTCAGGCCTGGGGATCAGACATGGGGATGGGGGTGGCTGGAGGAAGGTGGACAGTGGGAGAGAAGACAGAGTTGAAGAGCTAGGAGGACATGAGGTTGAAAGGCTGGAGTTCCGTGGAGATTCTGGACTGCAGGGTCAGAGAAGGCAGGCCTGGAGAGAAAGATCCTGAACCCCCATGGCCTTCTCCTGCCTCATTCCTCCTCACCGTTCAGCCTCTCCTTGTGTGTCCCCTTCTAGAAGCGCTCCCAGTCAGCCCACCCAGAAGAGCTGCTCACCTCTCACCTCCAACCCCACCACTTGCTCCCCTCCCCGCTTTATTTTACTGGAATGAACTTCCCCAGGGGGAGTGGTGCTTTGTGCTGTCTACAGCAGTTCCCGACACATGAGAAGCACCAAATTAATAGGCATTCAATAAATGAGTGAATTTAAAACTGCCCACAGAGAGATGACAGTTGTTGCCACAGAAACTGGAGAGTTCATCCAGGGTATGGATGGGCCGGACAGGTTCAAGTGCACAACCATGGGGAACACCAGAGTCCAGAGCCTAGTGTCACAGGAACCAAATAAACAGAATCTAAAGAAAGAGTACATGGGGCTCACTACAGTGAGGTCAAGGGAAATAATGGTTTAAAAATCCATGTGGAAGAGGGGCTGAGGCAACCACTGATGGAATAAGAACCTTGGAGAAAGAGGTATTGGGACTCAAACTACAGGCAGAGGAATTAACCCTGGACAAGGAAGCCACATCGTCCTTGGAGAAGCATAAAAGAGAAATAAAGATTCATTCTAGGAAGACGTGCACGTGAAAGCGGCCCTGGGCCGAGGTTCACCCATCTGCAGAGCATTGATACGAACCTTTATACTCAGCAGAATCACACGTCCACCATCCCGCCTAGGCTAGCGCACGAGTCAAACGAGTCAGGTAGGACAACGGCAGCCATACTTCAGCTCTAAGACCTGATGCTTTCTAGGTAAAGGAAAAAAAAAACCAGAGCTAATTCTAAGAGCAATGGACTTTGTGGCATGAAAAAAAGTTCAAGCAGCTTACAGTCAACCTCAAATTAGAACATAAAAGAGGATTTGGGGGTTCCAGTGGTTCTGAATGGCTTAGCAGGCCTTTCTCTTTTGAGCAGTAGCTGACAGCAAGCTGACATTGCAGACAAAGCCTTGGCTGAAGTTCACACCTCTACAACAGTATTTCATAAAGGATCTCTGGAAACATAAATATTTATATTTAAATACCTTTGTAAAATATAAAATGTTAAAAAATAAAATATAAAATGTGCTACTTTCAGTTATAAGGCAGTGAAGTACCCTAAATGACACTTAGCTCCAGAATTGCACAGACCATCTGAGTTGGAAAAACGCCTGTCTCTAGCCTTTACCTGTCACATGATATCAAATATGTTACTTAACCTCTCTAAGCACCACCCTAAAGCTGAGAAACAGAGAGCCAAACCCCACCTCTCAGTTAGTGGGATCAGAATGCTGGGCAGCATGAGGTCAGTTCTTTATTCACTCTCCCATTCCAATCTCTGCCAGATGTTTGCTGAAAAAAACAATCTGGTTTGAGTATGCTTAAGAGTTCTTCCTTTCCAACAAGCTTTCCAGAATACAAGGAAGTAGCCGAAATCTTCCCCCATCCAACAGTCTCTTCAACACTATGCTCAAATACCTAGAAAAGGTAGGGTCCTCGTTCATGTCCCCCTCCCACAGTGGCTGAGCCTGACCTGGACAGTGATGTCCGAATTATCCTCCACTTCTGTGGTGTGCCCTAGCCCTGGGACTACTTCACCCCCACTTCCTGTGGTCTTCTCATAAGACCACAGAGGATTAAAGATGCCACTACGTATGAACACCCTGCAATTAATTAAGGTATTAAAATGGCTCTTAACCAGTGGTCTGCATCAGAATCCCCTACAGCTTCTTCAACTAGCCTCCCACAGGGGAGCCTGTTGGGATTCCAGCAAGCCAAGGTGAAAAGTTCCACGGGGGATTACGTCCTCCTCAGACCCACTCGCATGGTGGCTCAGCTGTTTCTACCGACTTCACCTGGATTTCTGTTTACAGAGCTCCCTGATGTATAACACTGGAAGGGCAAAGTTTCACATGCCACTTGTACCACTATTACTCTTATTTGATGACACTGATAAACTTGTGCCTCCATCACTTTCTCTGCTGTGACATGGAGTCGCTCTTGACATCCTGAATGGTTACCATAGGTGGTGCCAGGTGAACAAAGACTAGAGAACCAGTACTTCCTTTTAGCAAGATCCTCCTTGCCCCCAGCCTCCGATGGCTGCTGCTGACCACTGTGGATCTCAAACCACAACAAGCCTATCCCTGAGCTAAACATTCTTTCCAGGTAATAGGGTGTGTCTGACAACACCCACCAAACTGGAGAGAAATATCTCCTACCCTCCCTGGAGAACACTGATCTAGGCCTATATGATCATCAGAGGGCCCCCCTCTCTCCTCCCAGGAAAGAAGGATTTATGATACACACACTCTCCCCTAAACCAAAGGTGAAGCAAAAAAGGGGGGTGGAGGCAGGCAAAGAGTGCAGCCTCACAGCAACGTTAAAGGAGAATAAATCAACGATGCTGAATCCCAGGTCACGTTTCTCATCCCCTCCCTCCACATATCGGGTTCTCTGCGCCCCCTTCCTCTCTGGCCCCTAACCACCCCGATCACTCAGTAACCCACCTCACACCAACTCAAAACTCAGTTGTGCCCCCTCAGCTAACCCGATGGCCGTCAGGTCCCGACCTCGCCACTCGGGACTCATTCTCCTTCCTGGTCCCAGACCTGCCTCAAGCGACTCCCTCCAGCCCCCACCACCCATTCCTTTCTCATCCCTTCGCCCGAACCCAGATTCCCTTTACACCTCCACGAAGCAACCCAGCAGCCCCGGCTCCAGTCCCAGACCCGCCTCGGACTAATTGGACAAGCCAGGTCGCCGCTCTGGGCCTCTGTCCGCACGGACCTAGCGGGGCCTGCCCATGGGAGCGCCGGCAGAACTGAATTGCGACGGGTCCGGGTCTGGCGCTCCGGGCCGCGGCACACTAGACAGCGCATCCTCCTCCCGCGGCCCGCCCTGCGCCCCTCCTAGAGTTCGTCTGCCCCCGGAAGCCCAGCCCTGCAGGACGCCCGCCAGCTCCTCACAAGCCCAGGTTCCCCACTATCTTCAGAGCAGCCTCGGCTACACACCCCGCCAGCCAGCTGACCAGAGAGACCCGCTGCCGCACCTACCCGAGTCCCTCAACAGCCGCAGCCCCGAACCCAAGGCGCGTGACTCGGGTGAGCCGTACCATCCCCGCAGCCCGCGAAGGGGGCGCAGGGACCGTCCGAGAGCGCCCCTACACAGCGAGGCGAGCAAATCCTCACCAGGTCCAGCACACCCGAGAAGGCCGCGCGAGTCCGGCAACTCTGAAGTCAGGTAACCTGAAGCAGCTGCTGACACCGCCTCTTCCTCCGGCCCTATCGATACCCCCCACCGAGGGGAACGGAATGGTTCAATCCACACCCGCTGGGGTTATTGGAGGAAACCATTTCAAGAGGGGGGAAATGCTAACATTTTTTTAAAAAATAAAGTTTTTTAAAAAATTTGAGAAAAACATATAGCCATCCTAAGACTCTAGGTCCACATCTAATACAAAAGGAAACGTCTCAACATTAAAAAAGTGCTGTATTTTCTTTTTAAAGTTGGTTTTTAAAGCATTGTTTTTTATTAAATTGCCGATGAACCCCCTTCTTAACTGTGGACCGCGTGGGCAGGTGGCGGGGAGGCGGTCGTCACATAACGCGAAGAACCGCCTCCTCCCCCCACCCCCCCTCCTCCCATCACACCTCCATGCTGGTAAGTGGCTAGATCGGTTATTGGAGGTGGGGTAAGGCGGGAGTACGCATGTGCATGACTGTATTTTTCTCCTCTCCTCCACCCACTCACCCACCCAAGTGATATTCCAAGTTTTTAAAATATATAAATCAATTATTAAGTAATAATTTTTAAAAAGATTTTTAATGGGGAATTGGGGGGATGGGAACAGTGCTGGGGAATTGGGGGAAGGGGAACAGACAAGTTGCTGTCGTTTTGTTCTTCAGTTGTGGAGGACGTTGCTTCACTGGCCCAAGTTGGCACCATCATTGCACTCTTCCCAGGCGAGGCAGATCAGTCGCCGGCTTCTGGACGGTCGCTCACTGCGGCTGCTGGCCGCTCACGCTGGCTGCTGGCTACACACAGTAGCCCATGGCAACCCACTGCCACAGGGGCTGCAGCCTATGCCGTCGCCGGCGACTCATGGCAGCCCAGCTCCAGGTTGAGCTGTTGTTCAGCATCTTAGCTGTAGAGGGCAGTGTCACTGGCCCTCATATGTGGGATCCGAACCGGGGCCCTCTGGCATCCCAAGCCAGCTCTTAACCATTGCGCCACTCGGCCGGCCCTAAGTAATAATTTTTTAAATCTGGGCGCCAGTTATTCAATCTACTTAAAAATTAACTTTTTTTAAAAAAAGATTTTATTGGGGGACTGGGGGAGGGGAACAGCATTGGGGAATCAGGGAAGGGGAACAGACAAGTTGCTGTCCTTTTGTTCAGTCTAGTTATGGAGGGCGTCGCTTCACTGGCCCATGTTGGTATTGTGATCATTGCGCTCTTCCCAGGTGAGGCAGATCGGTTGCCGGCCATGGGACAGCGGCTCATGGTGGCTCTTGGCAGTTCACGCCGGCTGCCCGCCAGTCACGGCAGCCCAGCTCCAGGTCGAGCTATTGTTCACCATCTTAGCTGTAGAGGGCGCAGTGTCACTGGCCCTAATATAGGATCCAAACCAGGGCCCTGCTGCTCAGTGCTGGCATCCCAAGCCAGCTCTTAACCAACGTGCCACTCGGCCAGCACAAAAATTAACTTTAACGTCATCAGTGCATGATATAATGTGGGTCCTTAGAGTTAAGTGGTAGAGAGATGAGAATCAGACCCTGAGTCCTAGAAAATTCGGCTTGGCCTGCCGAGATGGTGCTGCCACCTTGTGTCCTGTCCCATCCAAAGACCACTAGCCTCAACTGTGGGAACCCTGGCTGCTGTGGCTCTGGCAGAGTGTCCCCAGTGTGGTTGTTCTGAAGTTTTGGGGAAAAAACATCAGCCTTCCTAAAGTAGAAATGGGTGGTTGTGCTTTTTGTTTTTTTTAAATCACCAAGGTCACGTCTTTCTCTGAATTTCCATGTTATGCTAAAAGGAGGACATGAGAAATGAATTAAACTGCAATTTATTTTCTGCCTTCTTTTACTGGTGTGGCAAAGATTAAGGAGTATGGGATGGAATTCTGAGGTTAGACATCGATCGCTTTTATATGTTTAATTATTCTTACCAATTCAATTCCTCTTGATATTAGCACAAATTTCATGTATTTTCTAGTAAGTCACAAGATAATTTCTGAAGCAAACAACAAAATATCCCACAAGGGTATACTGATTTGGAATTCTATTTTTACTTTTGCTAAGATACTTGAGTTTTATTGAGTTTGCAAAATGCTTTGAAAGTCTTAGTGGAGAGGTGAAAGAAATGTTTGCAGCCTGCTTGTATAGTTTTGCCTTTCCAATTTCTAAAAGAAAACATTTCCAAGATTTGTCAAAGTGAACAAAATTCACCATGGAAATGGCCACAGCAGCAATTCTAAATAAAAATCTGATTAACCGACTTCCACACTAATAAGCAAAGAACTTACAAAACTTGCCAAATTTTCAATTAGTTACCCTGTCTTTATTTAATAAGGAGATTAATACCATTTTTAAAAAATCCAATTGTATATTCTGTTGCCTCAATCAGGAAGACAGGGAGGGTTTTTTTTTTCCTTTTATTTATTTTTTTTGGTAATCTTTTTTCCCATTTTTTCTTAGTATGAGGTGTTCTTGAAACTAACATCTGTTAGCCACGTTTTAAGCTAAGAAAAAACATTTCTTTCTGTCTTGTAACTTCAATTTGAGGAATTAACTTTCTCTGTTAGTGGAGGACACCACCTTACTCACATTATCCGTATTTCCATGATGATAAACTAATGACAGTCCCAAGTGGAGGAAGATTTATTCACCCTCTGCCATTTTCAGTAAAATTCAATGTGCACTGGACTACAGCTGGACTCGGTTTATGCCATTATACCTTTTGTTGTTGTTGTTGATGCCATTATATGTTTAGGCAACACCACTGGCTTCAACTACCTACCTTTCTTGAAGGTGCTTTCTCAAAAAAACTATAAATCTGCTTAAAAGGAACAACTATGTGCCAATTTCTTGCCTCAGTGAATTGTACCAAATGCTAAATAAACAAGTCTCTCAGTATAAATTTTCAAGGGCATTCAACAAGAGAGACAGCTTAGAAGTCAGAAAACGTACCTCACATTATCAGTGAGAAAAGCGAAGAGGGCGGTAATGCCCAACAATGAATGCCAAGCAAATGAAATACCATGCGAAACTCAAAGTTCCTATTGCACTATAGGAATTTAATGAAATGTTACCAAAAGCAGATTGAGGGGCACCGTCTAGAACAGCGGTTCTCAACCTTTCACAGGGGTCGCCTAAGACCATCGGAAAACACATATTTTTGATGGCCTTAGGAACCGAGACACCACTCCTCTATCCATCTCCAGGCCCACATGCAGATACGCCCACATACAAGTACCCAGCGACCCCTGTGAAAGGGTCGTTCGACCCCCAAAGGGGTCGCGACCCACAGGTTGAGAACCGCTGGTCTAGAACATGTTTTTCCACCGCTGACATAGGCTCAATCAGAATGAAAGATTTCCTAATGTTTTTCTGCCTTCCTACTGCTAAAGCTCTTAAGAGGCTTAATTGAATAGGCATTGATAGCTGAGCATCTAGGCCAGGGGTGTCAAACTGGCGGCCTGCGGGCCGTATGCGGCCCTCGAGGTAATTTTTTGTGGCCCACGATGCTCTGAAATAAAATGAAAATAGAAAAAATTGTTATGAAGAAAATAGCGCTTAGGGGAGATCAAGGCAATACTGTACACACAATTCCCTCGTTAAGCCTTTAACTACTGAAGACAGTATACAAAAAATTACCTTGAGGGCCGCCAGTTTGACACCCCTGATATAGGCTAACAGAGCACTTCAGGGATACCAGAGCTGCTAAGACTGCAGAGCAAAGTGAAGCCAAGTGGTCTCATTGTGAAGGTACTTTCTCAAACAAAACTATAAATCTGCTTAAAAGTTAACAACTATGTGCCAATTCCTTGCCTCAGTGAATTGTATCAAGGGATAAATAAACAAGGCTCTCAGTATAAACTTTCAAGGGCATTCAACAAGAGAGAGCTTAGAAGTCAGAAAACGTACCCCACATTATCAATGAGGTTTTTAGGTGTACCCTCACCAACATGGTCTCATTTATCTACAGATTACAGTTGGGCTTTATCTTTGAGTCAAATCATCATGTCCCTGAATCAGTTTGCAGTTTCAGGGAGATGAGGTATGTTTCCTTTGTAAGCAATTGGATCTGATAGTTTTAATCACATATCATTATTTTGAGGGTACTATAGTGGACTCCCTGTTATAAAAATAATTAATGACCTAGGCTTTTCTTTCTTCCAGCAACCGAGACAACATTCTCTGTGTTTTCAG